GAAAATCTGGTTCAATATAATCTCCTAATTCTTGCAATTTACCCTTAATGGCACATGGAAAATGAGCTAGTTCTGGTCATGTAGCAAATAGAAGGAATCCCTGGATAGTGCAAACAGTGAACGCATTTGACTGCTAACTGAAACATTGGACATTCGAGTCTACCCAAAAGTACCTCGGAAGAAAGGGCTGGCAAGCACTCCTGAAAATTCAGTCACTGAAAACCCCTTGGAGCACAGTTCTAGTCTGGCATACATGGTTTGGCCAGACATCAAGGAACTGACCTCATAGCAACTAGTGATGAGCAAATATAAGAGCTTTTAATGAGCCCATATAAATCTGTATTCTGTTTTAGAAAGAAAGAAAGAGGGTTTATTAGAAGAGCCATTAAGTGGAACCATTTTGTCCTCCTTGTTTTTGTTACGTGCTATCAAGTCAGTTCCAACTCATGGTGACCCTGTATTGCGTTTCTGAGGAGTGGTTGGTAGATTTGAACCTCCAACTCTGTATGGTTAGTAGTCTGGTGCTGATCCTACAGTGTCACATCAGGACTCCTCCTAGATTAGTGATTTTCAGCCTTCTCTTCTTTGTGAGCTCTGAAAGCCACTTTTAATAGGAAACTATATAATGCAGAGTCCAGAATAGAAATCAGGTAGAGTGATGTGGACTCAGGTAGGAGTGGGAAGCCTACCTGTTGGTGAAACTTGATGTTTATCATCCCCTCTCTTAAGATTTACGATTGTTCTGAGGCTTTTGCACCCAGTCATTTTCTTCTGAGAGCACTTCACACAGCCCAGCATAGATGTGTGGGGCGGAAACTGCTGACAGGTTGCTCTCTCTTAATACCAGCAAAGCTACATCACAGGATTTTCTCCCCAGTACCAGTACATAGGAGTTCTGGTGTGGTGCTGTTAGATAAAGCGCTTGACCTCATGGTCGGTTTCAACTGCAAGGTCGGACACCCTATACAGGGTTGCTATGAGCCGGAATTGACTCAACAGCACTTAACAACAACCACCAGTATATTGGTAATACCCCAAGACAAACATCACAGATTGGTGTTTTGTTTGAATGCACGGCACTTAGAAACATTCATGCCAGTGTTTCATCAAACAGGCAGGGAGTCTGGCCTCACGGGAGATATGGCAACCCAGGGCAGCCTTTCTGGCCTAACAGTCTTTGGTAGGATGGAGTGGTGACTGCAGCCTTCAGATGGGCCTGAGGTCTTCTGTTTGCCAGCCTGGCCTCCCCTAGAGCCCCCTGCAACTTTCTGTCTATCTATCTATCTATCTATCTATCTATCTATCTATCTATCTATCCATTCATTCATTCATTCATTCATTCTACCTGCTCTCTTCCATTCATTTGAGATGCCTATCTTATTTGGTGATATTGTCCAAATATGTTTATCTGGTGGTATTGTTTCGTCATTCCATTCACATATGTACAAAGAGGATTCCAAAAGTTCATGGGAAAATGCAATGAAAAGGTGGTGGAATGTTTCCACAAACTTTTTGAAATATATATGTGTGTATATATATATATATATATATATATATATATACACACGCACATAATAATAAACTTACATATATCATCTACAGATACTGTTTGAAGATTAAAGATCACACTGGGGATTTCATGGTGTCACTTCCTTAAGGAGGGCTCTAGGTGGCACAAGTGATTTGCACTCTAGACTGAACCACAAGGTCAGCGATCTGAGCCCGGCAGCTGCTCCGCAGGTGATTGATGAGGCTTTGTGCTCCATGAAGATTCAAAGCCTCAGAAACTTTATACAGGGTCACTATGATTCAGAACTGACTTGATGATACACACCAATAATAATTGACCTAAAAGTTGGCAGTTTGCAACAACCCATTGACATTGCGGAAGAAAAGCCTAGGAATCAACTTTCGTAAAGTCATAGCCAAGAACACCCAGATGGAACAGTTCTGTTCTGTCACACGTGGGCCCCAGGAGTTGAATCCAATTGACAGTGTTGGGTTGGGTTTGATAATTGATTTTTTATCCTTCCTGAGGCTCCAGTTTTCTATCTTTAACCCTCTTGTTATTTTATAGTTGCAGCTATATTCGGAGGCAAGTGTAGCCCTTCTAAAATTGAATAACCCCAAGGGTTTCCAAGAACTGAATAAACAAACTAAGAAAAACATGACCATTGAAGGAAAAGAACTGACCATAAGTCCTGCGTATCTATTATGGGACCTGAGTGCCATCAGCCAGGTGAGAGTGCAGAGATTCTTTTGAAACCTGAATAGAAGGTTTAAGATGGTAAAAACGGATAAGTCACTGGCTGAGGAGAAGGAAGGAGGACTGTAGCAAGGTGAGTTGAGTGGAACTTTTCTGATTTTCCAGCTGCTGGTTTCAGAATATAGGTAACCCTCGATTTACCACGAGGCTCAATCCTGATGTCTCCATTGTAAGTTGATTCAGACATAAATAAGTCAAAAGGCATCTTTCTTTTTTAAGTTTTCCTTTTTTAATTATAAATATCTTTACAAATCCAGTCATTATTCATCTTTGAGGGTTGGAAACATTACATATAAATTTACAGCTATATTTTCACATTGTACATAGCACATATTACTAATGATAAGATGTATCAAAAGCAAAAAAAAGGAGCTCTGGTAGCTTAGTGGATTACGAGCTGAGCTGCTAACCGAAAGGTCCGAAGTTCCAATCTACCACCAGTTACTCCATGGAAGACAGATGAGGCTTTCTGCTCCTGTAAAGATTACAGCCTCAAAAACCCTATACAGGGTCACTGTGGATCAGAACCAACTCCATGGTATACAACCACTCCCACCAAGAAGAAGAACAGATGGTCTTAAGTGAGGTTACAATGATACAAAAGGACAGTAATTCAAGATCTGTTTCCTACAGTGTGTTAAAGAAATACTGGGTTTTAGGGCTTTTTCTTTCTTTTTTTTAAATGAAATCCTTTGCAATTTTGATAATGCTTAAAAGTAGGACTCATTCTATAAAACACTGGCAGAGTACAGATTGAAGGATGCAATAAGTGTCAATGTCACTGAATTACAAACATACCTAGAAATCAGACTTGATGTGTGTTCCATTGTGTATGTTCTCAACAACAACGATAATGAAGTCTGCAAGGGCACCGGGAGAGCAGACAGGGCAGAGGGGAAAGTGGGAGAGGAGAAGGTCTGGGTAAGGGGTGTTCTACTTCTCAATGCCCCGAACATTATTTCTCAGTCGAAGCAGGATGAAGACGTGTCTGCCAGCCGTTTTGAAGACAACGAAGAGCTAAGGTACTCCTTGCGGTCTATCGAGAAGCATGCACCGTGGGTCCGGAATGTTTTCATTGTCACCAATGGGCAGATCCCATCATGGCTGAACCTGGACAATCCTCGAGTGAAAATAGTGACGCACCAGGTACGTGGCTTTCCCAAAGTGGCCAGGCTGTGGTTGCCCTCCCTGTCCTTTTACTATGGTCCCGTGATTTCATTTCCCTGCCCCGCCTCATCTCCATTTTTACTTTGTTTAATACTCCCATTCTCTTCCCTTCCTTCCAAAACCGATTCCAAACAGAAATCCTCTCATTCAGCTTTTCTCTCTTTTTTTCCTTCTGTGAAAAGGCTGTTTTTCAGAATTTGAGCCACTTGCCAACCTTTAGTTCACCTGCTATTGAAAGTCACATCCATCGCATTGAAGGGCTGTCACAGAAGTTTATTTACCTGAACGATGATGTCATGTTTGGGAAGGACGTCTGGCCGGATGATTTCTACAGCCATTCCAAAGGCCAGAAAGTAAGTACCTCAGAGGAAGGCATGCCTAGCTTAGGAAGCACTTAGAAGTTGTATGATAGAAACCATATCATCAAAGAAATATTTTTTGTGCTAAGCTCAAGAGAGGTAAGAGGGAATAAGAAAAATACCCAAGGAAATGTGCTTCCCCACATTCTTGGACATCCAGAGCTTCTGTGACCCTCTCAGTGTTTTACTGCAATAACAGCCGAAGAAACAAAATCACTGTGGAGCACACAACCACATCAGTGGAATGGCTGAGACATTGTGTTGAAATGGTGTTGAAATGAATGGATGCAGTTCTGTTTAAGGCAGTCAGGCTTACTCTGATTTTGTTTGAGAGAAAGGCTGGAGATGTGGTTAAGAGCAGATGGGCAGAGCCAGCTGCTTAGGGCAGAACCTGCCTCCACCAGTTTCCAGCTCTAGGCAGTGATTTGGCCTCTCTGGGTGCCTGCCTTTGCTGTCTGCCTAATGGGTGAAGTGTGAATACCCCCACAGCATTGTTGGGAGGATTGAGTGAGAAGTAAGTTAGACTTGACACCATAAGCTTGTAAGTTATACATCTCTGTAACAGTCAGTGCTGACAGCTCAGAGCGAATTCCTCCTATTGTGGTTTATACTACCACACCGTTTTCATTCTCCCATTCACCTGTTCCAGCGCTGCCTCTGTGCTCGCTTGGAGGGCTGCGAGGTGAGCAGTGCCATAACGGGAGACAAACACACAATCCATGACTGCGTGCAATGGTTTCAGTGCTGATAAGGATGCCTGGCTGCTCAGGAGTTGAAGCACATAAGGTTTAAATCAGACAGCATTTTAGGAAGAGTTCCCATCTGAATTGAAAGGAATTTTGTAGAACAAGTCAGAGCTAATGAGATGAAGAAAGACATTCCAAATAGATGGTGTTGGTAGCAACTGTGTGCCACCGAGTCAGTTCATCTTTCTCCCTCGGAGTGGCTGGTAGTTTCAAACTGCTGACCTTGTGGTTAGCATTTCAACTCAGTACTCACTATGCTACCAAAAGCTACTTCAAATAGATGCAGCATGCAAAAGCATGGAGGCTTTAAGAGGCACATGTAGTATTAAAAATTAATTTTAATTTGAAAAGTAGCCAGGAGTATCACTCACTTTGAAAGCAGGCAAATTTGCAATTCAGATTACTGTAAACTCCTGTGTTGATTAATCCAGTCACCTAAACTTCTGCATGGAGAAAAGGATATTGAGAGTCCATCTGCGGCTTTCTCAGCCTTGAGATAAGATTACTGTCCATATAGACATACTTGGGGATTACTGATAGTCCTCACACAAAAGCAGTGACTTGCTTCATACTTCCCACCTGCTTTTGTAGTTATATGTATGCTATATTAAGTCTGACATTTGAAATCTCTTTGTTTAAAGATAGATTATAAGAAACAAATCCACAAATTAAGTCCTTGTCTGCTTTCCTGCAAGTGATGCTTGGAGTGATACCTGCTTTCCTCCTAAATCTACAAAGAGCTCATGTTAGCAGTAAGACTGAGCCAGGCACAGGCTGTTTTTCAGATTTCTCACATGGAGGGGTGCCCTGAATGGCCCGGATTTCAGTAAGCCCCGTCACTTTGCTGAGATTAATTCAAGTAATGAGAAAGAGCAGTTTTACCCAGAAAGAACCGGAAGTACAACAGGAATTAGAATAATTACCATATGTGCAGACAAATTCAGGGCAAAATATTCCATACAAATGTAATCAGTCCTAGGAAAATTGCAACCTTTTCTAGGGGCTCAGTGGTTTTTCTTTATTTTTTATGGGCTTCAGTGTAAAAAGCATCCAAGATCATTTCATGGTCTCTGTCATTTTGTCATAGGTTTATTTGACGTGGCCTGTGCCGAACTGTGCTGAGGGCTGCCCGGGTTCCTGGATCAAGGATGGCTATTGTGACAAAGCCTGTAATAACTCGGCCTGTGACTGGGATGGAGGCGATTGCTCTGGTAAGATGTGTTCAAATGAATTGTCTTCATGTTTACTAAATGTTTTCATTTGTTATTGTTATGACCACATGCAGTAGATTTAATTAAGCATTCTCCATGCATCTTGCCCTTTTATACTTGCTACATACCGAAACCATCTGTAATCCATCGACTCTTTGGGGTTCCTTCTATTACCCATTGCTGAGGCTATTTTCCCATGCAGGCTCTGCACTTGAAAATGCCTTTTCTTATTATTTAAAATATGGAAATCTGCAATATCCCTAATTATGGAAGCTCAAGAGTTAGAATCACTCTTACTGGTTGTCTTAGGCGCTCCTTCTGGTGGCTTCCAGTAGCAGATTGCTGTAGGTCAATGAACAACTGTCGGGAGACAAGAGAAATAAACACCCTAGCTCCTCCGCAATAGCATTAATATTACACACAAGTATAATTTTGCTAAAGATAACTTAAAAATAGGTTGCAGTAGTACATCATAGGGAGCTGTCCGAAATTCAAGGTGGATTCAGAAGAGGACTTGGCATGAGGCTATCACTACTGTATCAGGAAGATCTTGGTTAAAAGCAGGGAATGCCAGAAAGATGTTTACTTGTGTTTTATTGACTATACAAAGGCATTTGACTGTGTGCATCATAACAAACTATGATTAACTACAGGAACCCTAAAACACTTAAGTGTGCTCATGTGGAACCTGTACACAGACCAAGAGGCAGTCATTCGACCAGAACAAGGGTATACTATGTGGTTTAAACTAAGGAAAGGTGTGTTTCCACATTGCACCCTTTCACAATACTTATTCAGTCTGTATGCTGAACAAGTAATCCAAAAAACTGGTCTATATGACAAAGAATGCATCATCGGGATGGAGCAACCTGCAGTAGCATAGGCTTCCTAGAGTAGCAACCTTGCTTCCTAGAGGACGTGAAATACTAATGAAGATCAAAGACTACAGCCTTTAGTGTGGATTACAACTCAATGTAAAGAAAACAAAAATCTTTACAACTGGACTAAGCATCATGATAAATGAAGAAAAGATAGAAGTTGTCAAGGGTTTCATTTTGCTTGGCTCCACAATCAACACTCATGAAAGCAGTAGTCAAGAAATCAAATGATGTATTGCATTGGACAAATCTGCTGCAAAAGACCTCTGTAAAGCCTTAAAGAGCAAAGATGACACTTTGAGGACTACAGCACACTTGACCTAGACCATGGTACTTTGATCATCTCACATGCATGGGAAAGGTGGACACTGAATAAGGAAGACTAGAGAAGAATTGATGCTGTTGAATTGTGTCAGTAAAGAATATTGAAAGTACCACAGACTATCAAAAGAACAAACAAATCTATCCTGGAAGAATTACAGCCAGAATGCTCCCTAGAAGTAAGGATGACAAGACTATGTCTTCCATGCTTTGGACATGTCATCAGGAGGAGGACCAGTTCCTGGAAAAGGACACCGTGCATGGTAAAGTAGAGTCGGAAAAAAAGAGGAAGACTCTCAACAAGATGGATTGACGTGGTGGCTACAACAAGGGGATCAAACAGCAACAATTGTGAGGCTGGCGCCGGACCAGGCGGGGTTTCCTCTGATGTGAGTCAGAGCTAGCTCAATGGCAGATAACAACAGCATTCCTTCTCTCTTTCTCACATGCTTATATTTAGACGTATTGATGATACCTTTTTACATTTATTTATTGCTCTTTAATCTATGAAGCCCTGGTGTGGTGCTGTGGGTTAATGTGCTGGACTGCTAGGTCGGTTTGAACCACAAGGTTGGCAGTTCAAGTTCATCATCTGCTCCTTGGAAACCCTACATAGGATCACTGTGAATTGGAACTGACTCGATGACACTAACAACAACAACAACAAACAACAACAACAATGGTAAACCATTATTCACTTAAATTTCTTAATAACTAAGACAGGGAACGCATGTACACAGATATCCCAAAACCTTTCAGTGAGCACTCAATGCCTAACCCATGTGCCACCAGGGCCTCTTACACAGATATCATCACCCCTAAATCATATATGAGGAATCGGGCTTGGAAAAGGGTTACCTACTGGAGGAAACAAAGCTCCAGGTTGTGTTTCACCTGAACTGTCAGATGCTCACTTGAAATGCAGCCAGCTGACACTTGCATTGCGGAGAATGCAGACAGGCCGCAGGTGGCTTGGTGCCATCCAGTGAGCCCAGCCACTAATAGAACCCAACAGTTAGATATCAAAAGGGAGTGGCTGGCCAGGGGTTAGCACCCATAGCCAAGAAGTCCACATGTAAGCATGTGAGAAGGAGAGAAGAGAGGTTATATACCATCATTCCGATTCACAGTGACCCTGTGTATAACAGAAGGAAACCCCGCCTAGTCCTGTGCCAGCCTCACAACTCTTGCTGCTGAATCTGAGCCCATTGTTGTAGCCACCACGTCACCCCATCTTGTTGAGGGTCTTCCTCAGCTCCTCAGCAGTTACAGTCTTTGAGATAATCTCCCCCAGTGCTTATGACCCCTTTGCACAAATTTGAAACCTGTGCTCCTGGGTCCCACAACTCATAAGTGCCATGGCCCGGTCATCCCATGCCCTGTCCACTGCAGAGATGATCCTTTTGCAGCTTATTTTTGTCTTTAGACAAGTGAAGTCTTCTGAAGAATAGAATGAAACTTCTCCAACATCAATTTATTCATCAACCCTGAAAACATTAGGACAAAAGGAATTATCTGGTTTGTTTTTTATCTTCCCCCAAATCTTAAGCCTGGCCAGATTCTTCCATGCCAGATTCATTCTCTTTCTCCTACAGGGAACAGTGGAGGCAGCCGCTATGTTGCAGGAGGCGGCGGCACTGGGAGTGTTGGAGTTGGACAGCCCTGGCAGTTTGGTGGCGGAATAAGCAGTATTTCTTATTGTAATCAAGGATGTGCAAATTCCTGGCTCGCGGATAAGTTTTGTGACCAAGCCTGCAACGTCTTGTCTTGTGGGTTTGATGCTGGTGACTGTGGGCAAGGTACATTTGTTACCATGGAATCATAGTAAGAACGAGGGAATAAAAAAATCTCTTGATGAGCAGAGGGGCTTTGGGATGGTGGTTGTTACTTAGTTAGGTAGCGTTAAAGAACAGAGATGTATGCCTTCATAACTTAAGAGGCTAGAATTGTGAATTCAGGGTGTTGGCTCTAGGAGAAGGTTCCGTCTCAGTCAGCTCTGGGGGAGACCCATTTGTAGCCCCTGTGTTCCTCAGTTCCTTGGCAATCTATCCCCCACCTCTCTCTCACCTCTTGCCCATTTCTATTTGCATGCTTCGGTGTCTGGTCAGCTCTTTTTATAACTCAGAAGTGAAGAGGTGAGGTTTTAGGCAAACCCTACATGGATATAAGAGGGCTTCAAAAAGTTGGTGGAAAAAGTGAATGAAAGGATAATGAAATTTTTCCACCAGCTTTTGGAATCCATCTTGTATAACCTCAATCATAGACCAAAGAAAGTCCTATTTCTAAACAGTGCTACATCCACAGGTAGAGGGCTTAAGGTTCCAACACAGATGGGAACAACAGACTTCAGGCCCTAACAATACCTTTCCCAGCCATATATGCAAACCAGTTGTAAGTTCAAAGTAAGAGAACACAGTCTTTAGAAATCATTAGACATTGAAGAAGCACTATCTCTACCTATCAGGTTCGGTTTTTGGAATGGAATTTCCTTAGCTGATAATTGATGGTGATGGTTTAATTTGAAAACAGTACAAGGAGAACAATGATGCCGTACATATGGTGATTTTCTCGTTGGTGGCTTAATAATGGAGGTTATTTGGACAGAATATTATATTTTTTCAAATGGATAAATAGATGGAAATTCTTAGGTTTTTCTGTCAAGAATCAAGTTATATCCCCATAGTAGTCAGAATTGGCATGCTATGTTTTAATCATGATTACCTCAGATTGTACCTATTGTATTAGAAGTTCTCATTATTTTGCAACCAATTTAAAGTCAGTCTTAGAAAAGTGAAACCTTAAACTCATAAGGATTAAAGAAAAAGAGATAAAAGAGCTTAGTTTTTTTAAAAAAATCATGTTTTTTTTTCCTTCTAGATCATTTTCATGAATTATATAAAGTCACACTTCTCCCAAACCAGACTCACTATGTTCTTCCAAAAGGTGAATGCCTGCCTTACTTCAGCTTTGCAGAAATAGCCAAAAGAGGACTAGAAGGTGCCTATAGTGACAACCCAGTCATCCGACATGCGTCCATTGCCAACAAGTGGAAAACCATCCATCTGATAATGAACAGTGGAATGAATGCGACCACCATACATTTCAATCTCACGCTTCAAGATAAAAATGACGACGAGTTCAAAATCCAGATAACAGTAGAGGTTGACACAAGAGAGGAACCTAAACTAAATTCTACCACCCAAAAGTCTCATGAAAAGTTGGGGAGCCCAAGCACAGTTCTTCCAGAGATGGAAGTCCTGTTTGAAGATGTTCCTGTGGAAAAACGCTTCCCGAAGTTCAAGAGACGCGATGGTAACACAACAGGGAGACTCCAGGAGGACATGCAGATTCCCCGGGTCAATATTTCACTTCTTCCAAAAGAGACCCAGTTAACTCTCCATAACTTGGATTTGCAACTAGAGCAAGGAGACCTCACTCTGAAAGGATACAATCTGTCCAAATTGGCCTTGCTGCGGTCATTTCTGATAAACTCAGAGTTGAAAGAAAGTGAAGCTGGAAAGACAGATGAAAGAGATGACCACTTGGATGCCCCACTGGAAAAACGAGTTCACAGAGATGCTTTGGCAAAAAGCTTTGAAGCATCTGAAAGACTTCAGGGGTCTACTTTTCTAGCAGTGCCAGCAAAAAGGAATGACCACATCCAGGGTCATCCACCCCAGGAATCAGAGACCAAAGCAGGATTTAGATCAGAAACCCAGGCCCCAAAAGTAGGAGGCAAAAGTATGTCAAACGAGAAGCTACACTCACAGATTGTTCCACCGGAAGACCATGTGAACAAAGAAAAGAAAATCATAGGGAAAGAAAAGGAGAAAACCAGTTTGGAGGAAAATGCTAAAAATAACATTGGTGTTAATGAAGTATTACCTGGAAGGAAACTTCAGCACTATATAGAAAGCTACCTGGGCTTTTTGCCATGGGAAAAAAAGAAATATTTCCAGGATCTTCTTGATGTAAGTTACATTCAGCCTGTTCTCTCCTGTGTTCAGGAAAAAAATTAGATAGCCTTGTGATTGATAACAATACAGTAATAGCTGCTATCTATTTGCAGTCTCTGACTAATGTAATTGATTTGGCTGCTAACTTGAAGTTTGGATGTTCAAGTCCACTTCTCGGAAGATAGGCCTAGTGATGTACTTCTAACAAAGCAGCCATTTAAAACCCTGTGAAGCACAGTTCTGTCTGGCAACTGGTTTGTTGTTGTTGTTTTACTATTTCTTCAATACTGTATTCTGCTAGCCACTGAACTAATTTATATTTTTTGACATAGTTTCATTGAATTTTTCTAATAGCCCCAATAATAAAAATACCTCATGAGGGTAATATTTACTTTTGCTGTGCCTATTGTTGGGGAGTATTGGTGGTGCTGGTGTGGCACTGTGGGTTAATGCGCTGGACTGCAAAGTCAGTTTGAACTGCAAGGTTGGTAGTTCAAGCTCACCAGCAGCTCCTCAGAAACCCTATACAGGGTCGCTGTGGGTCGGAATTGATAACTGGTGGTGCTGTTGGACTGCTTAACTACAAGATCGGCAGTTCAAACCCATCAGTTGCTCTGCCAGAGAAAAGATGAGGCTCTCTGGTCTTGTAAAGATTTATAGCCTCAGAAGCCCTATATGGGGTTGCTATGAGACAGCTGTTACTTAGCGGCAGCATCCCCATTGTACAGTTTTGTGTGAGTGAGTACCTGGTAGCATGGGGATGGTATCTTTACTCTGTGGTTTCAGAAATGCTTTTGTGCTAGTCAGGTCGGATAGGCTTCCACTTTTACTGATGTGAACACCGAGGGTTAGAGAAGTTCTTAGCTTTCCCAGTAACACAATAGCAAGTCAGTAGGAGCGCGAGCTGCCTGCCCTTCACACTGGCTTCATCTGCTGTGGTATCTGAACATCTGTGTGCTGTTACTGTGCTAACCACCAGGGGGTGCAAGACAATTAGGACACAATAGCTGCTGTGCCCAAACTGGTTGGGAAGACTTTTGTGGACAAATAGTTGTAGCTGTGGATTAAGAGGGGGGGCGGGCTAGGATAGGCTGCAAAGTCAATGGTTCAAATTCACTAGCCACTCCTGGAAACCCTATGCAGGATCGCCGTAAGTCAGAACTAACTCGATGGCACTTAACAACATGTAGTAAGTACCTCCATTGAAGTATGGGCATGGATTACAAAGTAAAAATTGATGAACTTTGCCTGGAGAAATTGGGGAAGGCATCCATGAGGAGGTACCCTGTTAGCTGAACCTTGAAGGGCTGGTAGGAGTTGACAGACCAGAAAAGTGTCTTGTGTCTGGCACATTGCTGTTGTTATATGCGGGCAAGTCAGTTCTGACTCATAGCAACCCTGTATAGGGTTTCCGAAGAACGGCTGGTGAATTTGAACTGCCAACCTTGCATATTAGATATTTACTGGTTGTTGAGTGAAGAGCTGAGGACTTTTTGCTTATTCTTATTTCTTCACTCTTTTCCCTTTTGCTTGCTTTCTGCTTTGTTTTTTTTCTTTTAATTATGAAAATACCATAGATAAAATTTATTGTTATTGTTAAGTGCCATTGAGTTGTTTCCGACTCATAGCAAGCCTGTATAGAGTTTCTGAGGAGCAGCAGGTAAGTTTGAACCACTGACCTTGTGGTTCAAACCGACCTTACAGTTCAGTGGCTTATCCCACAGCGTCACACTAGGACTCCAGGTTAAATGGTAAAATGTACAGGCAATGCAAAAATACAGTCAATGGGTCTCCTGAAGCCTTCTCTTTCAGATCAACTTCATATTTGGTTAGTGTTTGTCTTAGTTGCCAGGTGCTGCTTTAGCATAAATACCACAAGTGGGTGTCTTTAAAGAACAGAAATTTATTTTCTTAACGTTCTGGAGCTAACACTTCACATCGGGGTTTCAGTTTGCACTGACTTCTTCCTTGTCAGCGTGGTCATTCCTTGGTGATCATTGGCTTGTAGACAATCCTCACATGGCATGTCTTCCCCTGTGTGTCTCTGAGCCTATTCTGGTTTTTTTAATAACTCAGATGTGATTAGATTTAGGACCAACACTGAAATGTCCTCATTAACATAACAAAAGTAAAACCTTATATTCAAATAGGATCACATTTACAAGTACCAGAGCCAGAAATTCAACACAGATGCTGTATTTTAGAAGGACAAATTCAATCCCTGACAGTATCCGGCCAGTATTTTTCAAAAGATATGCAAATGTATAGTTTGTTTTTAGAACAGTGAGATTATACTATGCATATGCTGCACAAAGTTCTCGCTCACTGACTTGGTTAGGTTCCGAAGATCAAGCCATTATGCAAAACTGGCATTATGTAAGAACCAGTTTAGGAAAGAAAGTATTTCCATACAGAAAATTTCATCATCTGTAAAGTGTGTTCACATTCTTTGCCATTTGGTTTTGCATCTTAATAATGGTTTGATGTTGTTGTTAGGTGCCATCAAGTTGGTTCCAACTCATAGCAACCCTGTATAGTTTCTAAGGGGTGGCTGGTGAATTTGGACCACCAACCTTGGTTGAGGTTGAGTGTTTATCTAGGGCGTCCCATCAGTAGGGTTCTTCATATTTTGTATCATTAACATTATTATATGGTTAAACCAAATGTGTTTGTTTCAAAGCTCAAATACTTATTTTGGTATCACTGGTAGAAATACCAAATTGCTTACATTTTTAAATGTTGCATTGAATAGGCTGTGAAATCTCATGGCTGATAACCAGTCCTTGAAGATTACCCTATAAACAGACCTCCAACACACAGCTTTTGTTCTCAAGCCAATACTGATGAGATGGATTTTCACTAAAACCTAGTTCAGTCCTAGTCTTAGGATGTTTAAAGTTAGTACGCATTTCATGGGTACTTGTATGGCAGTTCTAAAAAAAACAAAAACACCTCATTGTCATCAAGTCGATTGTGACTCTTATCACCCCTAAAGAGGGTTTCCAAGACTGTAAATCTCAGAAGCAGAAAGTCTCATCTTTCTTCTGTGGAGCGACTGGTGGGTTTGAACTGCTGACCTTGCAGTTAGCACTCCAGTGCTTATCCTACAGTGGTTATCTTACAGTGTTCCTCTTGGGCAGTTAGTGGAAAATTATTGCTACATAATATAAAATGATAGATCTGTCTCTCTATTAGCAAAGTACATTGTTGTGGGGTGCTGTCGAGTTGATTTAACTCACAGCAAGCCAGGTGACAGACTTGAACTGCCCCGTGGAGTTTGCTATGGTTTTATAGGAGCAGATCACCAGGTTTTTCTCCCTTGAAGCAGATGAGTGGATTAGAACTGCCACTCTTGGTTAGCAGCTAAGTGTTTAACTATTGTGCCGCTCCTTAATAAGGTACATCCATCCCACAGCAGTCTCCACTCAGCTCGTCTGAGTTCCACAATTCATTGCCATGACCACACAGAACTCGGATACCACACTCACAGTTAGGGCTTCATTAGGGAAGTTAACAGGGTACACTTCAGGGCCGGAAATGCTGACTTGTTCCAGTCAGGACAGCCTCTCCTCAACTGTGCCCACAGGTAGGCCTTTCTTTGCCCATAAATGTCCATAGGACCCACCACTCACCCAGAAGGCACTGGGCTCTGACTCCGTGGGTCAGCACACCAGGAGGCCCCCACTCTGTGAGCAAGCCTCCTGCCCCAGATCACTCAGCTTGACTGGCTCTGGGGACTGGGAAGCCCACCGCTCTGTCTCATGCTCTGGCTCTTGGGTCTGCTGCTGTTGCTCCTTTGCCCCTCCTCTACCACCCGTCCTGTGTCACAACTTTCTGTCCCTGGGGTGAGGAGACTTTGGATGTCCAGAAACTTTGGAGTCCAAAAGATGCACTCCAATCCTGTCCCTTCTTTGATGGTAGTGAGATCTGCCTCCCATTTCTGAGATGGCTCATTTTAAACCCATACTCGAGTTTCAAGCTTTTACCGTTACAGTTACAGATAACTCAACATCACAGCAGAATCATGTCATCCTATTAGTATCTTCTCCTACCTTCTGTTTTCCACTCCACCCCCTACCCCCCAGGGCAAAGACAATGTCTGGTGAGAGTAAGAGACTAGAGACTGTGACTAGAAGAGACGTTAGCTAATACACTAAACTGTATAAATTGGTATCCTCTCAACCTTGCTTCATTGCTACAGTTGCTATCTGCTTACCAACACCCTTTAACTTTCAGTCCTAGAATGGGGTTTTCTCTGATGGGCACAGACTTTCCCTGCCTCGATGCATCCAATAACAATTCAAAAAGACAGTTTTGTTTGTTTTCCCCTAGAGATCTTTCCTTCACAGGAAAGCCTCCTGTTCCCTCAGCAGTTCTGAGTGGGTTTCCACCTAAGCCCCTTACTCTGTACACAGGCTACTGGCCTAAAATAAAGCCTGACCCTTCCTAACTCCCCTTTTAGTATATCTAGTTAAGTTTTGGAGTCTTGGGGTGGCACTGTGGGTTAATGCGCCATACTGCAAAGTCGGTTTGATCTGCAAGGGAGGCAGTTCAAGCTCACCAGCCGACTCAATGGCACTTAACAGTCCAGTATAGGCTGAAGGCGGGCTTACACACTCTCTGTAATCATGACAACCGTAGGAATTCCCATCATACAAGGAGCTCTACTTTACAAAACTAGGTAGGAGAAACATCCACTGTCCATACTGCAGTCAGGTACACACGTAACCCATAACCCCTTTTAAAACACCCAAATTTAGTGTTTCTCCACCCCTGGACTGTCTCCATTGATGTGTATGTGACCTTGGGCCTCTTACACTCTTCACTCATTACAGGGAACCACCAAAGTTACCTTCTTAAGAATCAACAAATTATTTCCCATGTCCCTTTATTCTGTCTCATACAAAACTCCATGTTTCCATGAGTCTGGAGCCATTGCATTGAACCCCACTTCTGACACCAACTGCAAAAATAATGAGATTCAATGTGCAGAGGTATCGGGGTCCAAAGAACACACTTCCCTCCTGATTCTTTCTCGATGGTCATGAGAGTCCACTGCCTGCCCCCACTTTTCAGATGGCTCATTTAACACCAGTGTTAGAGGGTCAAGTTTTTACAATTAGAACTAATTCTGTTAACTTCCACAGCTGAATCATATCATCCTACCAGTCTTCTCTCCCACCACCTCTCACCCAGACCCATCAGGAAAAGAGTAGTTGGGTGAGAGTTACAGGCTTTGGCTAGAGGAGACATTAGATCATTTACGGCACCTCCATAAGTACATGTCCAGCTCTGTTTACAGGGATCCTTTTTTTTTCAGGAAGAAGAGTCACTAAAGACACAATTGGCCTACTTTACTGAGAGCAAATACACTGGAAGACAACTGAAAGATACGTTTGCAGATTCCCTCCGCTACGTCAATAAGATTCTAAACAGCAAATTTGGATTCACTTCTCGGAAAGTCCCCGCACACATGCCTCACATGATTGACCGAATTGTTATGCAAGAGCTGCAAGATATGTGAGGCTTGTTGGTGCTAAAGTCACTTAACTGGGTTTCAGAGCTAAGGCTGCTTGAAATCTTCCTTTCTGCTGTGCAATATGTGATGAGTAAATAAATAGTCTATCTCCATAAATGTTGTTAAGTGCCCTTTAGGTGGTCCCAACTGATAGCCACCCATGTACAACAGGACACAAGATTGCCCTGTGTCCTCCTTAAATCATTGCTACAGTTGAGCCTGTGGTGGCAGCCACTGTGTCCATTTCCTTGATAGTTTTTCTCTTTTTATCCTGACCCTCTACTTCACCAAGTAGGATGTCCTTCTCCAGGGACTGTTCCCTCTTGATAATATTTCCAGAGTACGTGAGAACATTCTGACCGTACTTCTGCCAAGACAAATGTGTTTGTTCTTCTGGCGGTCCATGATCTATTCGGTATTCTTTGACATCAGTTGCCACAAATGCTGATGACCGTATATATTTTTGATCTGCAGATCTCATTCTATCTTATATTTGGACAGGTTCCCTGAAGAATTTGACAAGACGTCATTCCACAAAGTCCGTCATTCTGAGGATATGCAGTTTGCCTTCTCTTATTTTTATTATCTCATGAGTGCGGTACAACCACTGAATATATCTCAAGTTTTTGATGAAGTGGATACAGACCAATCTGGTGTCTTGTCTGACAGAGAAATCCGAACACTGGCTACCAGAATTCACGACTTGCCTTTAAGTTTGCAGGTGTTGTGTTTTTCTTTTTCCTAAACTCTGACATTTTAAATGAAATTTTGAAGTTTGACAGTTTCTTTTACCCCTACAGATTTCACTTCAAAGAAAGTAAGGGTAATTCTTATTTAGTAAAGATTTCAGCACAAGTCCATTTTTAGTAAAGATTTCAGCACAAGTCCAGAATCAAAACCAAATTGCAAGCTTTTATTTTATAAGATTACTTTTTAGGGTTCTCAGCAGGGATTGATATTGTGTTGTTTGGAGAAAACCTAGAGATTAGCTACATCTTGTGCAAGGCTCATTCAGGGGCTCTCCTAGTGTGATTGGAGATCTCCGCCAGTCCTGAGACACTGTCCATCCACTCCATCTGGTTTCCTTTTGGCCCAAGCATAGGAAACTCACCAATGGAGTGCCAGCACGGATAGAGCATTCCCTATGGTGCTCCTTTTGTGTAAAGTGGTGTCTCACAGAACAATGTTTTCTATTTTGAAGCAAAGATGAAATATTTATATGTGTATTGTCTTACTTTCCTCTTTTTTTTAGTCTGTCTTAATGGTGTGAAACTATAGGATACCAAAAGGTTGGCAGTTCAAACTCACCAGCTGTTCCTCAGAAACCCTACAAAGGTTGCTGTGAGTCGGAACTGACTCGACAGCACTTCACCACCACCACAACAATAATGTTTATCTTAAGAATCAGATAATCAAATTCCCTTTAAGGATAGTATTGAAGCCACTTTGGAGATGTGCATGATTTTTATTTTTAAAACCACTGTCATTACCCAGAATATATACAACAGGTTTATTCTTTTGCTTTGCCTTTTAGGATTTGACAGGTCTGGAACATATGTTAATAAATTGCTCAAAAATGCTTCCTTCCAATATCAGTCAGTTAAACACTATTCCACCAACTCAGGAGGCATACTATGATCCCAATCTGGTAAGTGGCGTGAGTTAATTTTTCTGTGCAACAAAACGTTGTATGGCTGTACAACAGCTTGCTATTGTTGTTGTTATGTGTCATCAAGTCAGTTCTAACTGAAAGTGACCCCATATGACAGAGCAGAACTGCCCCAGAAAGTTCATGGCAATAACATGTATGGAAGCAGGTACCAGATCTTTCCCCTGCAGAGCTTCTGGGTGGGTTTGAATCTACAAGCTTTTGGTTAGCAAACTAGCACTTAACCGTTTACATCATTTCGGAAACGACAGGCAAGTTTTATACTTTTATCATTGGCAGAAAGTAGTAACATAAATAATTTAGAGTCATTTATGTCTTTTATTGGAATTGTTTTCCCCCTCCTAATGGATATTTGGAATCCTGGTGTGACACTGTAGGATAAGCACTAGACTGAAAGGTCAGTTTGAACCACAGGGTAGGTGGTTCAAACTCACTAGCCGCTCCTCGGAAACCCTATACAGGGGCGCTATGAGTCTAAACCGATTCAATTTCACTTAACAGCAACAGTAGATACTTTTCAGGTTCATTGCTTATATCCCATAAGTGGATATCTTGTTCAAAGAATAGCAAAAGAGAGCCCAAAAGCATTCTCAGTTGCCTGGGAAAACAGTCCTGGGGTTCAACATTAACAAGGAAATAGTCATCTAATGAAATTCCATGTTTAGTCAAAGCTAAGTGTTTTGATGCTGGCACTTTCTTGGTGTTACCCGAAGGGATCAGTGAATAATTTACAGTCAGCTGCATTGGGCTGCTGTGTGCTTGATTGCTAACTGAAAAGCTCAGCACTTTGAATCCACTAGCCATTCTGTGGGAGAGAAACCCTGATGATCCACACCCATAAAGACTGTTGTTGTTGTTGTTAAGTGCAGTTGAGTTGGTTCCAACTCATAGTAATCCTGAATAGAGTTTCCAAGGAGTAGCTGGTGAGCTTGAACTGCCAACTTTCCAGCTGACCTTACAGTCCAGTGCATTCAGCCGCAGCACCATACCCTGCTCCCCCATAAAGATCACAGCCTTGGGAAGGAACTCCACGGGGCTGTTCTACTCAGTCTTAAAGGGTCATGCTGAGTCTGATTCAACTCAGCACACACACACACAACAACGTTGGGGTGTCACCTGAAGGAAGTGATCCCAAGACGTATCCCAATTTCAGAGAAGTTAAAGTATTAAAGTACTGTGGATCTTAGGATTGATGAAAACAGGATAAAGTACTTTATATTTGTGAAGAATACTGTATAAACTCAAGAGTACTGTATAAACTGCTAATACTCATTTACAAGTATGTTTATTATGAACAAAAGTTTTATTCCTTCCTGCCGAAGGAACAGAATCACAAAGTTTATTAAAAAAAGAAAGTTTAGAAATTGGATTACATAAGCTGAAGAATCTTCTCTGTTACAAGGCTATTTAAGCCCAGATAGCGCTTTTCTATTTCCCAGAAACCCACTGTTGTCAAGTCAGCTCTGACTTATAGTGACCCTATTATGTAGGCTTCCGAGACTGTAAATCTGTACAGGAGCAGACAGCCTGATCTCTTGCCAAGGAGTGGATTATGGGTTTAAACTGCCAACTTTGCAGCTTAGCCCACAGTGCCACCAGAGCAGTTTTTGTAGTTAACCCAAAACAAAAAACCAACCGACTGCCATTTAGTTAATTCTGACTTACACTGATCCTGCTTAGGTTTTCTGAGGCTGTAAATCATTACAAAATCAGAAAGACTCATTTTCTCCCACAGAGCAACTGGTGAGTTTGAATTGCCATCTCTGTGGATAGCAGTGCTTAACCTACAGTGCCACCAGGGCTCCTCCTGGAGTTAAAAAATAAGGATAATAAAGGATATCATTGTTGACGTCAGATAGATCTTGGCTGAAAGTAGAGAATACCAGAAAGATGTTTACCTGTGCTGTATTGACTGTGCAAAGGCTCTCAGTCATGATAAGCTATGGACAATGTTGCAGAGAACAAGTGTTCTGGAACACTTAATTGTACTCATGAGGAACCTGTACATAGACCAAGAGGCAATTTTTCGAACAGAACAAGGGGATACTGAATGGTTTAAAATCAGGAAATGTGTGTGCCAGGATTTTATTCTTTCACCATATTTATTTAATATGTATGCTGAGCACATAATCTGAGAAGCTGGATTTTATGAAGAAAAATGAGGCCTCAGGATTGGAGGAAGATTCATTAACAGCCAGTAATATGCAGATGATACAACCATGCTTGCTAAAAGTGAAGAGGACTTAGAATACTAACTGATGAAGATCAAAGATCACAGCCTTTGGTATAGGTTGTATCTCGTTGTTGTTGTTGTTATGTGCCATGGAGTCAGTTATGACTCATAGCGACCCTGTACAGGGTTTCTGAGGCTGTAAATCTTTATGGGAGCAGAACGCCTCATCTTTCTCCCGTGGAACAGCTGGTAGTTTCGACTGCTGACCTTTCGGCTCACAGCCCGATTCGTAACCACTACGCTACCAGAGTTCCTTCAATGTAATGAAGACAAATCCTCACCACCGCTGGACCAATAAACAACATCCACATAAATGGAGAAAAAATTGAAGTTTTCAAAGACTTCATTTTGCTTGGTTCAACCATCAACACTCATGGAAGCAGCAGTCAAGAAAGCAAACAATGTATTGCATTAGACAAATCTGCTGCACAAGACCTCAGTAAAGTGTTAAAGAGCAAAGATGTTCGTTTGAGGACTAAGGTGTGCCTGACGCAAGCCATGGTATTCTCAGTAACCTCATGTACATGCAAAAGCTGGACAGTGAATAAGGAAGACCATAGAAGAATTGATGCATTTGAGTTACAGAGTTCGAGGAGAATGCTGAAAGCACCATGGACTGCCAAAAGAACAAACAGATCTGTGTTAGAAGAATTATAGCGAGACTGCTCCTTGGAAGCCAGGATGGCCAGACTTCGTCTTTCATAGTTTGGACATGTTATCAGGAGGGACCAGTCCCTGGAAAAGGATATCATGTTTGGTCGAGTAGAGGGTCAGGTCTTCAGTTCAAAACTATCAGCTGTTCCGTGGGAGAAAGATGAGGCTTTCTGTTCCCGTAAAGATTTATAGCCTCGGAAACCCTGTACAGGGTCGCTGTGAGTCGGAACCGACTCCACGGCACACAGCCACCACCAGAGTAGAGGGTCAGAGAAAAAGAGGAAGACCCCCAACAAGATGGATTGGTATAGTGGCAGCAGCAGTGGGCTCAAGTGTAACAATTATGAGGTTGGCAAAGGACCGGGCACTGTTTTGTTCTGTTGTGCATAGGGTCTCTGTAAGTCAGTACCGACTCAATGGCACTTAACAACAACAATAAAGCTAATTAATTAAATCTAAAGCATCCTGCTGTAAATGGTCTAGCTTAGGTTTGTCCATTCCCACCCCCACCTCCGCCAAGTTTATGTGTTTATCAAGAAACCTGTACTTTCTCTGCATTGTCAAGGCTCTCTGCCTCCAGGAAGGGGAACGTGGGTCTCTCTGAGCTCCAGACTGCTCTGCCCTGTCTTTCCTACTGTCTTCTCAGTGAGCAGTCCCGGAGTGTAGTGTAGATAGAGGAGGGAGAAAGGAAAAAGGCTGTGTGGCTCCCTCAGCATTTCTGCCCGACCACTGGGCTTTGCTTTCTTCTGAGTGGTAGAGTAATTGTGTTGAAAGGCCACCGAAGTACTCAAAGTCCCTTGAGCTTCACTGCTGGTAGCGCTCTCTCTCTAGACTTCTCTTTCATACATCCTTATTCCCACATCTGCCTTTTTACTTGTCTGTCATTCCTTCTATAGTTTTCTTTCTTTCTCCTGCAGACATTGCATTCATAGTGAGACTTTACAGTTACCAAGCTCCCACACTTAGATGCAGAAGTCGGTTATTTGCTGTAGAAAAATTATCTACATGTATAAAATAGCCACTCATCTTGCCTTGTTTTAAGGATGTGCGATATGAGAGACTCATTTGCTTTTGAAATAAACCCATCTTCATCAATTAGCAGAATAATTTTCGTTCTTTCCAAATTTCTGGAAGAAGGTTTAGAATTAGCAATTGTTGTTTGAGAGCTAAGAAATAAGTAAAACTTCCTTGTTAATGATTAAAACTGGTGTTTTGAGGCTCATGCATAGAAGCTTTGAGAGGATAAATACTAGTTACACTGGCAGCAGTAGTTAGCATTGTGTGAGTGAACTCTAATCTTACCCAAGGCATTGGCTTCATTTTTTGCACTTAGCCATGATTGCACTTGGGGATAAAGAATTTTCTGATTCTTTAGATGATACAAAGCACAAATTAGCTTAAGAGTATTAAACACAGACCAGTTCATAATATTTTATGTTAGAAATTAATTTTTTCAAAATTATAACAATTCCTGACAAGACTGTTTTCACATAGACTGTGGGGTGGGTAACACATGATTAGGTCCCTGGGTGGAGCAAATGGTGTACACTTGGCTGCTAACCAAAAGGTTGGAGGTTTGAAACCATGTGTTGGCACTGTGAACGAAAGGCCTAGTGATCTGCCACCATAACGGTTACAGCCAAGAAAACCGTATGGAGCAGTTCTTCTGTCACCAATGGGGTATCTGTGAGTTGGAAAAACTTGCTGGCAGTGGGAAATAGGAAAATGTGTGATTAAAATAAAACTTTATTTATAAAATTAGGTGGCCAGCCTGAGGACTATAGCCTGCCAGTTCTATTTTTAAAGTACTGTATTAAAATATTTATTTTGATTACTGAGATTTTTGTGGGTCCCTCCTCCCACTTAAATCTTGTACCTGAAATGAGTGCCTCACTCACCTCATCTATTCCTGGCCCTAATAGGATGTCTGATAAAGTCTGATATACTTGAATTTTCTCGTAGCCACCCGTCACAAAGAGTCTAGTAACCAACTGTAAGCCAGTAACTGATAAAATCCACAAAGCATATAAGGACAAAAACAAATATAGGTAAGTAATATATGTGTATTCTTTTGTTTCATTTAAGAATAATTACAGGGGTCTGGCATTTTATAATTTGATAAACTTTTATCTATTAAGCATTCTTTCTTAAATTACATGAGATATTTGTTAATGGTGGCTGTGTGCCGTGGAGTCAGTTCCGACTCATAGCGACCCTGTACAGGATTTCCGAGGCTGTAAATCTTTATGGGAGTAGAACGCCTCATCTTTCTCCCAAAGATTGCTTATTTGTTAATAGTAACATTGAAATGTTAAGTGAGTCTGTGTATGTCGAGTGTATGTTTGTGGTTTTTTTAATTGAAGCTTTGTTTTTTTAAATTTATATACACATTCAGACTCTTCTAAGTACATTTTAATAATTAGGTTTGAAATCATGGGAGAAGAAGAGATTGCTTTTAAAATGATCCGTACCAATGTTTCTCATGTGGTTGGCCAGTTGGATGACATAAGGAAAAACCCCAGGTATGGTTTTGTTTTGTTTTAATTATGCTTACTTTGCAAATAAATATCAATAAAAAGAACAGTAGGCCCAGAGGGGAGGGGGTGATTTAATTCTGTTTAGAGCTGATGGGAAGGCCTAATGGTGTAGGTAACGCTGGAGCTGGGCTTGACCACGAGGTAGGAGTTTGGGAGAGAGACAAACTCAGTCCCTGCATTCAGTTCTTTTGGGACTGAGACCTGGTGTGGTGCTGTAGGTCAATGTGTTGAACTGCAAAGTTGGTTTGAACTGCAAGGTTGGTGGTTCAAGCTCACTAGCTGCTTCTTAGAAATGCTATACAGGGTCGCTATAGGTCGGGACTGACTTGACAGCACTTAACAACAACAATAATGGTAGTTCTGAAATCCTGGTATGGTGCTGTGAGTTAATGCACTGGACAGCAAGGTTGGTTTGAACCACGAGGTCGGTGGTTTAAGCTCACCAGTCGCTCCTCGGAAACCCTATACAAGGTTGCTATGAGTCAGAACTGATTTGATGACACTTAACAACAGTGGTACTTCTGGTGTGGCACTGTAGGGTAAGCACTGGACCATAAGGTCAGTGTGAACTGCAAGGTTGACTGTTCAAACTCACCAGCCATCCTCAGAAACCCTACACAGAGTTGTGTGTGTCAGGACTCAGTGGACGGTGCTTACCAACAACAACAACAATGGTAGCCTTATGCTTTACTCTTTGAAAAAAGTCATCAGTCTCATTTTGGAAGTCTTTTGTGACATTTGCTTATTGCCCACCCTGAATTCAGTCATTGTTGATCTATAGTGTTGTGCGTGGAAACGTGCAGTTTTTTTTTGTGTCCTACATTATTATTTCATTGTGTTAGTTTGAACAGTTATTGGGGAGAGAGCATTCTCAGCTATTTTCATGATATGTTTTAAGGACAGGCCTTATTAAAAAGGTCACGTGGCAAATCGGGTTTCACCAGCCATGTTGTTCAGGTTTGAATACCTCATGTTTCCTTGAAGAGATTTTGTCATTTTTGACTCTTGTTTTGTTTTACTTTTTATGGGGGCTTATTAAAAGTCAGGAAGAGAAAATCACATTCCTCAGTAGCTTCAACTTTCAAGACACAGCCCACAAACAAGGAGCCTAGGGCTGGGCTTAGCTCTCTTTGCTCCCTCAGCTCTGCTTATCTGTGTGGGGCTTTCTCCTCAGGGTGGCCACTGCACTCCTAGATGCCACTTGTGGACATAGCTTTATTCCCAGGCAGAAAGAGACCCAGCAGACAGACACTGGGAAGGGGAGAGATCACTTAGACTAGTCAGGGGTTGGTGATGAGGTTGGAGTGGGGATTACCTTCCCTGAGTCAGAAACCCGGGGCAGGTGAGTACTGAACAAAATGGACGTTCTCTTAGGAAAGCAGTACTGGGGCGTGCAGTAGATGTGTGCTGGGCACTCAGCAGTCAGCTTGAACATAAACCCTTTGTCTCACTCATATACTTTTGTTTCCACTTTTTCTGATGGCCAACATTTTGTCGTATTTGCTTTTTTTCTCTCTCTGTGTGTGCTTCTTTTGGTTGTTTTGGCGGAACCATTTAAAAACAAGCTGCAGCTATCCACACACTTAACATCTAATTATTTTCGTACAAGTCTTCCAAAAAATAAACTTGGGGGCTAACTGAAAAGTTGTCAGCTTGAACCCACCCAGTGGCTCGATGGGAGAAAGCCCTGGCATGTTTAGCTCTAAAGCATAAGACTCCTTTAAAACATAACCACAACACCAACTTTACTTCAAACAAATGAATAATTCCTTAATATAATCAACTCTTTGGTCCATGTGCACATTTCCTCAGTGTCTTAGAAGTATTTATATGTTTTCTGTTTTTAAATTTGTTGGCTTTAATTGGTACCCAATAAAGTCTACTAATTGCAATTAAGTTTACAAGCGTCCCTATTTCATTTTGTTTCCTACCTAAATAATCTTTGTGTGTGTTTGTGAAGAAATCCAATAGCATGTTATGTAGCTTTCCTATACTTTGGATTTCATTAATTGTGTGCTAGTTGTTAGCATGTTCCTCTGTCTGCTGTAGTTCCTGTAAGTTAGTAGTTGGATATAAAAGATTTACCAGATAAAAAAATTTGGCACATCTGCTTCAATAGTGTTGTCAGACCAGCCTACCATTTTAATGGACTCTCAGTTTCATGACATTTGCCTTGAAGGAACTTGAAACAGCTACAGAAGCACAAACCATGGTCATTTTTGTCAGAACGCAGTAGTGGTTACGAATCGGGCTGCAAACCGCAAGGTCAGAAGTTCGAAACTACCAGCGGTTCCGCAGGAGAAAGATGAGGCGTTCTGCTCCCATAAAGATTTACAGCCTTGGAAACCCTGTGCAGGGTCACTATGAGTCAGAACTGCCTCCACGGTACTTAACAACAACATCTTTCACTTGACTGAAGTCATCAAACTAATAGAGTCTATAACGCTAACATACTTCTCTACAGGACAATTTTGTATATCAGTTCATAGAATTGCATTTTAGAGGCTTAAGTTTTCCATTAGCTGCTATTATGTTCCAGTCAGTTAACTACATCAATTGAATACTCAATTAGGGATACACTAAATAAAAATCATTAAATTAATTTTCTCATCTAGCTGGAAAACACTTTCAAGATTATCTACCACAGTTCTTGGTTACAGGTAAGGAATAGCTACAGAACAATCTTACAGAACATTACTCCTCCAAAGACTCATATCAATCAGTAAATGCACCCACGTAGGGCACAGAGTCCTATACCATGTAATTGGAACCCACAGTCTCTGCTGTGTTAGGTCACAGTTATCCATGCAATCACCAGTAACCCAACTCTCTTTCTTCAGGAAATTTGTTTGCCTGAATGACAATATTGACCACAATCATAAAGATGCGCAGACAGTGAAGGCTGTTCTCAGGGACTTTTATGAATCCATGTTCCCCATCCCATCCCAATTTGAGCTGCCAAGAGAGTATCGGAACCGATTTCTTCATATGCATGAGCTACAAGAATGGTAAGTTCTCATGTTTCATATGGTGATATTGCAGATTGGTGAAATACCATTAGTGTATTATTTGCTGTGCAATTTCTTTGCAAAACTACATTTTTTATTGAGCTTAATATGTGAAAGATACTTATTAACATTTTAAGGAATTTGAAAATACATTTAATTGGGAATCTTTTAGTTTATACCATTGCCATCAAGTCAGTTCTGAGTCCTAGCAAGCCTGTAAGACAGACTTGAACTTGCCCAGAGGGCTTCCAAGGCTGTACTCTTCACGGAAGCAGACTGCCACATATTTCTTCTGTGGAGCAACTAGTGGGTTTAAACCTCTAACTCTTCAGCTGTGTCCCACCAGTGCTCCTTCAAAAACCTGTTGCTATTGAGTTGATGCCAAGTCATAGCGACCCTATATAACAAGTAGAATTGTTCCACCAGGTGTATAAGACTGATTACCTTTATGGGTTTCTTTCTCCTATGGAACGGCTCATAGGTTTGAACCACTGACCTTTCAGTTAGCAGCCACAGCTCCTTTCTTTCAGCTTAATGGGAACTTTATTCTTTTCCCTGACACCATGATCCAAGAGAATCATTAATGGGAACTTTAATCATTTATTCAACTGTTTGTTGAACACTGTATAGGTGAAGAGGAACACCAGTTCATAAGAGCATGTTGTATACAAAATGAGAGGTAGGAGAGGTCAGTATGTGCTGAGCTGGTAAGCAAGGTAGTAAGTGCTTAGTGGATGGGTGGCTGAGGGAAGCTCAGTTCACCTCCAGATGTTACAGGAGTCTTTGATTGTTGGAGCAACACATTAGCCTTTGGCATCTGGCAGAGTGGAATTAAAGCTGTATTCTAAAGAAGGAACTTCAGAAAATGATAAGAAGGGAACATTGAGCAAAGATTTGGAGGTAGAATGAATGATCAGAGGGTTTTAGGGGCTGGCCTGCCTCAGTTGGGAAAGTCCTGTATATAAATAGTGGGTGATAAGCCTGGAGATGAACTGGGAACCATTGCGTTCAGAGACTTGACAACCAGATTGTCAGTTTAGGCTTTATAACTACCTGGGGACTTCTATAGCTAGTGAGCTAAGGACCGGCATCAGGCCAAGTGTTGAATAGAAATGTCTCATAGAGTTGTGTATGGAGACCAGTTGTCTTTCAGAAATAGCAAGGAATGGCTTCTCAACACTTTTACTTTCCTTCAGCATAGAGGAAAATCATCTTCAGGTGGTCTCAAGTATTATCTCCCCCAAATACCATTTGTGATTATGTTTCACTTTAAGGGTCTAATTACATAGGAGTAGTTTGAGAGGGCTTTGATTTCTATATTGTACAAAGCAACGAATCAGGTATAGGATGTTCAGGTTTCAGCAATAACTTCTTATAAAAATTAAAAGATAATTGTTATCTGCAATGTGCATGCTAATTTACCCAAGTCCAAGGCAACAAGTTCTTTTTGCCAAGACTGGCCAGTTTCCCCTTTTAAATCTCTCAAGACCATCTACTGCTTTCTCTCTATTCCTCAGTCAATGTCCTTGACTATTTCTGTTCTAGGTCAATTGAAATATGTTCCCAGACAGTCCTGCCCCACTGCTGACCCACCAATCCCATCCTGCTTTCTAGAAACTTTCCTTTTTCTCTTCTGCAGTTTTGAGTCCCCTGTTGTCTTTTCCTGGTTTTCTGGAATTGACTGTCTTCCTGTTCCCACCAGACCCTGTTCCTTCCCTACTTACTGCACTCTATGGTAGTATATCTGGTTGTGCTTATCTTGGAAGGCTGTGGGCCCTGTTCGGGGGCAAAGACTATCTTACCTGAGTCCACAGTGTCCCCTAGCACATGGTAGGTGCCTAGGGGATGGGGTGGCTGAGGGAAGCTCAGTTCACCTCCAGCTATTAAAGCGTTCTCTGGTTGCTGGCACATCACATTAATTGGGCTATGGTCTGCTTCTCAGTAGCTCTTTAACATTGCACTTAGGTTCTGAATGATGCTGTAGACGTACAAAGCTGGTTGTGATCTTGTTAACAGTTAGGAAATACAAGAGGAAGAACAGTGTATGGGAAAGTATACATGTGATTTTAAACATTTGATTTCAGGTCGAGGGATCCATAGCAAACTGTGCTGCACTGGCTCTCTTAAACCCCAGTACCCTGTAGTCTCCAAATCCAATGGGTTCGACTTGTTTGTTTTCACTCTGAATGCCCGAGTTCAAGCCCTCATTCGTTGTCTGTACTTAAACTAACTGGATTCACTTCTCCAGCCATCCTTCAAACAGTCACCATTTTTACCTGATTGTGTCTTCCCGACCCCTGCCATCTTACCCCTTTCTCTATTAGATTTTTAAGTCCAAACCCTACCACATGCTTTTCTAGAACAGTTACAATTCACACTCTCCCACTATCATGGTTTAGCACTCACCTGCGACTCAGGTGCTGGACTTGTCTCACCTGGTGACTCTAACTCTCTCTTGTTCCTCATTCCTTTCCTCATTCAGGGGCTTTGCGTCGTCACTTCAAGGCCTGAAGGAATTGTCAGCATCTGGTGCCTTCTTGGTTTCAATACATTTTCCCACAAGACTTGCCTTTTTGTAAAATGTACTTCTGTCCATCTTGTGGGATGCGTGTTGTCCTCATGTCAGTGACTCCCCAGGTTTGTAAACAATGTTAGGGCAGAGACCTTCTCTCGGTAGCCACAGTGTTGTTTGAGTTGGTGGTGAGTGTGTGCAGCTGAGTCGGTTCTTTCTCATAGTGACCCTGTACAGGGTTTCCAAGGCTGTGGATTTTAATGGGAGCAGAGAGCCTCATCTTTCTCCTGCCGTGAGCTGGTGGATACTAACTGCCAACCTTGCCGTTAGCAGCCCAACTCATAGCCCACTGTGTTACCAGTCAGTGCTCCTTGAATACATGAAGATATAAATGTGAGGGGTTAAATAAACATGAATGAAAGAGTAGCTTTTCTTAAAGGCTGTTGTTTTCCCTTTTCCATTACTGAATGGTAACATTCGATAATGAAAGTATGAAATTTATTGTGGTAGAATGAAAAATTTAAGATCATGGTGGGAATGTATACATATTATGTTAATGTTTTAGGGTTGCTTCCAATCAGGATTTCTGTGTGTTTTTTTGCAATATTTTTTTTTTTTTTTTGCAAAAATAGGATGTGAGTGCCTATCACTGATGAAGTGAAATTTTAGACAGAGGTCCATGTTCATTTCTCTCCCAACAGGAGGGCGTATCGGGATAAACTGAAGTTTTGGACCCATTGCGTACTAGCAACATTGATTATATTTACTGTATTCTCTTTTTTTGCTGAACAGGTAAGTTTTTTTCAAAAATATAAGTGAGTATTAGGCAGTATTTCTGGATACATTACCATTTGATTATTTTAGAAAATGGTATAAGTTTACAACCAAAAATTTTTAAATTTCCCCATGATATTATATCTGAACTATGTCAATATTCAAGAAGCAATCCTGACGGCCTGTTACTCATTTGTCTTCTAATATCTCATACCAGCTGTTATTTTACCTGGAACTCAATAGATCAGCTTGCAGACCTCAGGCTAAGGCTAAAGAGTTGTGAGAATTTTCTCCCAAGAACCTGCTTAGAGTCTTCATCTGAATCTAAATTGTTATGGTCTTCAGTCTTCCAAAAGTGACCACATCTGGTTTGCAACCCTGACACTGTTCTGCAGACATTGTATGTGATACACACGAGTAGTCTCCTGCTTAGCCTTTCCTTTGAATTTCTGAGAATGTTCCCTCCTCCTCTTGCCTCTCAGCCCTCTCCTTTCTCCCTCATTCCCCCATGGGAAAACACTCATATACAGTCTTGAGGTGAGGGACCAGAAACAGAGAGAAGACTCGAATTGGTAGAAGATTTGTGGGATAAAAAGAGAAAAGAGAATCCCTCAATGAAATGCTTTGAAGGAAAAAGGATTGGAGATAGAGGGGAACCCTTTGGCTGACCTGACTTTTGCAGGGCAAGCAAGCTTCTTCGGGGCCCCCATCCAGGATACTCATTGAGTGGGGCTTTTCTGACTGTGACTTGGAGGAGTCATACAGCTTATTCCCAGGACAAGGAGACCTGAGAGCTTTAGGGGAAACAGAGTATGGGCTTTCTGTTGCAGATGGAAGGGAAGTCAAGAAATGGCAGTGGGCAGGCAAGCAGGACTGCAATTTAGCCTTCAGCTACTTACTTCCCAGGGAATATAAGACTTGTTTGTGATATTTTTTGCCAGTGTCTCTGGTCTGTAAAACTCTCAGAAATAAGAACATTGGAACACTGAATGGTTTAAATTTAAGAAAGGTGTACAACAGGGTTGTAGTCTTTCACCATACTTATTCAACTTGTATGCTGAGCAAATCATCTGAGAAGCTGGGTTATATGAAGAAAATCGTGGCATCAGGATTGGAGGAAGATTCATTAACAACCTGCGATATGCAGATGATACAACCTTGCTTGCTGAAAGTGAAGACGACTTAAAATATTTACGGATGAAGATCACAAATAACAGCCTTCAGTATGGATTGCATCTTAATGTAAAGAAAACAAAAATCCTCACCACTGGACCAATAAACAACATTCGTATCAACGGAGAAAAGATTGAAGTTGTCAAGGACTTTATTCTTCTTGGATCAACTATCAACACTCATGGAAGCAGCAGTCAAGAAATCAAACAATGTATTGCATTAGGCAAATCTGCTGCACAAGACCTTTTTAGAGCGTTCAAGAGCAAAGATGTCAGCTTGAGGACTAAGGTGCACCTGA